CAGCAGTGCACTGAGCTAGGTTCGTGAACAAAAGACAGTTCTATAACACCACACAATCTGGGCTCTGTTCACAAGGCTGCAGGCCTGGCTGAAATATTCGGGCGTCAATGAAGGTCACCTGTCAACTTAGAGTAGTGCCTGAAGATTACTCCGTGCGGCTATAAACGACTGTTAAATGGAATGATGAATTGTTGAAGGATTTTGAAAATGGAAAAAATGATCGTCATGCCGGCCCAGCATCCTCAACATTGAAAAATGCCCCGGCCCGAAGTGGTTAAATTTCAGCAAAATCTGCAGCAAAGGGGATTTTCATATCCGAGCACAGATTATATGAGAACCAGAATGCCAAACCTAGGGACTGACCTTTGATGCTTGGTTGCGAGCTTGTCGTATCTTCTCTCTAATCTTATTAAGATCGACAGCCATGTTGCCTTCTAGAGTCTTCATGTCATTAGCTTGTCCACTCAGTGATAAGGACAGTGTATGAATCTCATTCACACTGGACTGAGAGTACTGGGCTAAAATAATGAAATCCAAAATATTCTAACAAACAAGGAAATCATCTGACTGCAACACAGGCTTCCACAGGAACACACTGTCAGTGTCTCCTTTTTGTCACAAATTTGATAGTTGGCAAAGTGTTCCAGAAATTCATGCCACAAATCCTACTTTTAATTTCTTTGTTGACAGAAAAATGTAAATGAGGGATAAACAATACTTCCTCCCAATGAATCCATCTTGTAAAAAAGAAAGCAAAGAATTTCAGAGGATGACTTGGCAAGAAGCGTAAAAATGCCTCAATATCAGATGGCAATTTTTAGCCACAGCTACCAACATTTGTAACTTACTTGCATTGTCAACAATGTCTAATGCTTCATCCACAAAGCCTGTATCTTCCTCAACTTGCTCCAGTCTTTTCTTTGCCTCAGGAATTTGTCCTAATGTCCTTCCTACTTTATCTTCAACACCTTTGGCTTTGCTCCGTGCCAACATGGCAATATCAACAGCTTCCTGGGCTGGCGTAGTCAGGTCTGAAAGAGAACTTGAGTCTTTAGAATTACCATCCTGTCCCTACTGGAATTGTAAAATAAACTTCAGGAAAAATCTTTTGTTGAAGATTGCCAGGTGAAATCACAGAAATAAAACAAACCCGGTGTCCCCTAAGTGAGGGTGCAATAATTTTAATCATGCAAACAACCTAAATTGCTTTAAGCAATGAAATGCAGTATTTGAATCTCAAAACTCAACACTAACCCTGTCTGAGTTCAAGCAGTGCCTCCTTTATGCATCTTAGTCTCTCATATGCATCATCATTCTTGTTGGTTACCCAGGTGATATTATCCTGCACGCTATCAAGCCTCTTTCCTAACTCCTCCAATCTTGGGAACAGGCTGTTGGTATCCAGGGAAAGGCTTTTATCTCTGGACAATAAAGCTAGGACATCCAGCGGTTCAGGGTTACTAACCTGCAGGACAAATGTAACAATGTTGCAAGATGAACTCAATGGGATGTATTCAGGCAGGTGGATTAGGGATGTTAGGGCAGGTCAAATTGGAATATTTTGTTTTAATAAGCAGGTGACTTTGTGTCTCACTTGGTAACTGGCATTGTTGGCAGCCATCATGGCCTGTCTTGCTGCCTGTTCCGCCTCATCAATAGCCAGTTGAATCTGACCATATGCATTGACTGCTCGAATTGAGTCATCTGCATAGTCTTTAGTGGGCTGAAATAACCTATGAAACAAAGGAAGCAATGATTAATGATATAAATGTGAAATGAAAGAGATATTGTCTCCAGTGGCAATGGTGCAAAAACTTCACTCTGACTCATTGGGATGTACATTATATTTTGCTGTTTTTTACATACTCTTGCAGGCGCTGTGCTTGCTGTTTTAGGTTGTCTGCATGGGCCTCAGCTCTCTCAACATACTCATCCAAGCCAAACAAGTTCTGTTCAATTAACCCCACCTTGAAGCCAAGGTCTGATGTCAGATTGTATAGCAGAGCAAACTCTTTCTTCAAACCCTGAAATTGGAAGAGGGCATTCCTGATACAATCAAGTAACGTTGATGTTTTGAATGAAAATCTCACACAAAGTTGGACACAAGTTTACTAAACTACCACCAATCCTAATGACAATCTTATGGATTTAGAAGTCTTTGTACTGGTACTCCCTTGAGGATTACCATCTGAACATTTTAATGAGTTAATTCTTGAAAGAACCGTTGGGTTTAGGAATTCTGTGTTTCTGTTCTGTTAACCAAAGTGTTTCCCTATTCATTTCAAAGATAATTTAAGAATTGAGGATTACCATTCCAGAGGCATTGGCTTGGAGAAGCAGATCTTGGGCTTTGTCAAGAATGGCTCTGGCTTCAGAAAGATTCCTTTTGCTCATCTCCTTCAACTCTTCAGTTTGCACTGCAATCTCCTGCAAGGACAATAAAGATTGATCTTTAAAAAAGTACTTTTGATGACCAATGTTTGCTTCTTGAAAATTAGTTGTCATTTCATCCAACATATTTGGTTGTACTTTGTGCTTCCCATTAAAAGTAAAGTTTCAAATAGACAATATTTATGACCTAACCTCCTACCTTAATCAAGACTATCAAGGCTTTACTGTCTTGGTTGATGCCAGTTGCATTTTCAGATTTGTTGACAGCCTCTTGGCTTGTTTTTATCAGGAACTCAAGTTGCTTGGTCAAGTTCATTATGCCTGAGTGGGTATGATCAACCAGCGGCTGTACATTCAGGATGTCATCAAACAAATGTCTGGCTTTGTCCAATGTTTTGTTGGCTTCCCTAGAAAACAACAAAAAATGTATGTCTTTATTTTTCTCTGTATAACGTCATTTTACATGTAAGTGCCACAATCTTTCTTTTAACTACATTTTACTTGTTAGTGAAACAAGGTCAGATAATGTTACAAGAAGAAATCAAACAGATATCGCAAATCTCAATACCTAAGTTCACTATCAGCTCTTAGCTGTGAATACATAAAAGGAGGATTTCTATCTGAAATTTCCATGACAATCATTCGTGCTTGCACCAGGAGGGCTGTAGACTCATCCAGGGACAACTCCTTACTCAGCTCCTCTTGGATGTTGGCAATTTCTTTCACAATATCTGTAGATTGGAAATGGATGATAACAATCCTAAAAGAAAGAGTGTACAGTCCTCAAGTTTTAAAGTAAAATCATTCACAACCATCCAATCCTAAAGAACAAACCGCCAAAGCATTACTTTTCAAGATGATATTGTTAACTCTTTTGCCAGCATATATGCTTACATATACATATTGTTGTCAAATATGCTGCACATTTGACTTCTTAAATCATCTTGACAACACAAATCATACCTTTTATTTTATCAAAGATGGCCGTGATATTAGCCTCTGCTTCCACAGCTTGGATGTATGTTTTATCCACTTCATTTTTCAATGATGTTGCATTGTCCTTGGTATTGTTAGCCTGCAAGAAAGTCAGAGAATTTAGCTGCCTTGAGGGTCCTGCTATATTGGTCCAAAAGTGTGACATGTGTGTCCCTGTTACAGCTGACCTGTAAATTCTGACATGGCAATACCACTGAAATTAACTTCAAATTATTTAGATTTATTTGGCAGGTAATCTGTGTTACTTTAATCACTCTTGAAAATTAAAGAATGTGTTTTAAAACCTTCAAAATCAAATGCTAGATGTGACAGGGACAGGAAAATGATTGGACCCCATATTTAAAGAATGACCTTAATGTAGCTATGTATACTCCCACAGGAGTTAAGAGGTTTGAAAAGAATAAAAACCTGTTTTTACACATCAACACCAAAATGATAACATTGGTTTCTTACTCTCATTTCTAGCCTGTCTGTATCCTCTTGTAAGTTGCCTATATCAGGCAAGGCCAGAAGGAGTTCCTTAGTAGAATTCAAAACTCCAAAGAGCAATGCAAGTTTTCCCTGGAAATAAAGCCCAAATGAAATGGATGTATATTAAGATCTCCTCCACTGCCACATTACTATAAGAAACAACAGAAAGTTGATAAATCTTGCGAGGTTCTTATAACCAGTGGTCTTGAATGAGAGTTAAATAATGGACTCTTTTTCATCTGTGCCTTACATTTTTATCACAGGTTTGAATCCATCTTAGGGTAGTATGAGCATAAGATTCTCAATTCCTCTTTGATTTTGAGATTTTCAGAGGAACAACATGATTCAAAAAGATCACTTTAAATTTTTTTTCACAATTTCTTCAAGGTTAAAAGCTTTAGCTGCACTGTCATTACACACAATGTCTAGTACAATCCTTCTGTAACATAGAAGTTTGGAAATGCTGACATACCTGAATCAATTTGGTAGCATTTTCCATTTCTTGTAACTTTTCCCAGGGCGCAACAACAATGTTAGAAAAATTTCGCTCCTGAAGAAGTTGCTCCAAGCGATCCAACTCAGTCAAAAGAAGTCCAGTGCAGTTATCGTAACAGGCTGTTGAGAATGAATAAGACATCTTGTTTGGGTTTCATGTACTGATAACCAAGCTTCCAGTCTACAATTCTAAAAGGAAAACGTGTTTCCAATCACAAATATTACAAGTTCTTGATAATCAAATGTACAGACCAGTTTCAGGTACGCACATACTATGCATGTAAAAGCATCAAGTTAAATTATTCATCATTTAGGGGATATCTTACTGCATAACCTATGCAGTACAGTGACATCAAGTACTGTAGAAAAAAATACAAAGAACAATGACAAATAAAGGACATGTAAGCCAAATTTCTTACAAGAGCATCCTGTTTCCGTGACGACGTATCCAGCTCCCTCATCACATTGGTCACAGTTTGCACCAGTAATCCCATCTGTACATAGACACACTCCAGTGATTTTGTCACAGACTGATGAGACAGAGCCATAGACATTGCAGTCACATGGCTGACAGGTACCACCAGGCTTGGTAGGGTCACCATAGTAACCATCATCACAACTAGCATTTTAAAATTTATATGATTAGAGGCAAATGAATATCTTAAAATGAGTGGCATATCAGTGAGACATTTATTTCCATAATAATGAAACAAATTGTTGGATAAAATGCCTATCATTCTGTCATGACATCCTGGGAACTGTGGGTGTGTAGTCAGAATAAATGCCAAAATGATCTGGTGACCACTTACATGTAGGTCTAGAGAAATAAAATAGAAGGGGTTTGATAAAACAAATAAGCCTCTTATTCCAATGACTTCTGGATCCATTAGGAACTCACCTGTCACAGAATCTACCCACATAGCCTGCTTGACAGTCAGTGCATCTATGCTGACCATCTAAAGGATCTAAAACACACGTTGGACTGAAGCTGCTGGGATAAGATAAGACATCTCATAAGAATTGTAAGGTTCAAAATTTCTGCCACCCAAAGCAAAATGCTGAAAAAATTACAAAAAATTTGAAGAGTTCAAATATTATTCTGTTTTTCCATCAGCAAAGGAAGAATGCTTTTCTGGCTACCTACTGTAAGACCAATGAAGTCTCTTAAACATCTAAACAATCAATAATAAATATTAGCCAACTGCTTACGACCCATAATTCATAGGGATCTTACTTGTTAACAGAAGCAAATGATGGGCAGGCACATTGCATACAGTCAGACGGAGTACCAACGGTTGCATCTCCATAGAAACCGACATCACAGTTATTGCACTGTGGGCCGGTTGTGTTGTGCTGACATTCCTGATGGGTATTGGAAGGTATAAAATTTCATTATCTCATAGAATATTCATTGATTAAAGTAGATATATTGCAGGTGGTTTGAAAATTTGGTACCTCACACTGTCCAGTCCTGTCATCGCACATATCAGAATGACCAAAGCAGACACAGGGTTGACATGTGCCGAGGTAGTCTCCACTTAACCTGAAGTAACCTGCTTCACAGCGCTGAGACAAACATGAGGAAATATCAGAATTACTTGGGCATACATGTAGGTTGCATTTCTAAGGTATGGTTACTAAGTGACTGATGTTTGAATTAAAAAGTTGTTTAAAACTTTGTGCTGACAAATCGTTAGGAATAAAGTACGGTAGAAAATCTTAGGGTTTCAAACAATACACTCTAAAACCTTCAAAGGTACAGTTGTTGAAATCTTCCCAGTCAAACAGCATTTTCAAGAGCAAACATTTCTTCACAAAAGAGATATTCCATGGTGTACCATAAACCATTCTTTACCCCTAACAGTCCTCAATCCTTCACCTGTTGGAGGATTGAGGACTGTTAGGGTTACTGATGTTTGAGAAGTTCTGGGAACTGGAGCTACATTAGAAATGCAGGATTCAAGAATGACATTCAAATGAAGAGTTACCTCACATGAAAGTCCTGTGTAGCCAGTAGGACAATCACACTCTTCCACTCCTATCGCTTGGTCCCCACTGATATCACCTCTGGCTGGCCCTGCGGTTTCTAGAACCACACTATCAATGCTGCAAGGGGATACATCCAAACACTGACAATGAAAACTACATAAAACACGTATGCTCTCTTCATAAAATAGTTAATATCCAGTATAATTCTCAAGGAAAGCAATGGATTGAATCTGGTCACTGGGTGAGGCTGCTTTGCCCCAATAACATTAATATTTGGCACAAATAGACAGAAAAAACCATGTAGACAAATCTGTGTATGACTATAATTGGATGGATACTCACAGTGCATAGACTGTGTCTGGTCCGTACGTTGCTCTGATAAGAACTGCTTTGATGTCTTGTATCACCATCATGAATTCTTCTTTGGTTGGCTGTCTACCTGATGGCTGCAGCTGGAAGTTGTGCTGCAATAAATTCATCAACAACCAAGGATGAATTTTTGGACCTCGTTATGAAAGCATCTCCTCCAAATCAACTGCTCCAGGCACTTACCTCCAATAGTTTCACACTGAATGCTTGTTTGGTGTCAGGGGAAGGCTCTGGCAAATCTACGGTGACAGCATAGCGAACACCAAGAATTTTGATGTCTAATGTGGATTCCACAGGTGTGTTGGCTGGTGGATTCAGTCGATAGGCCACAACAAAGCTCAGAATCCCACCATATGAAGACACCTGTCAGGTAAACCGGAATGGAAGGAGTGAGCAATTTAAGTTCTGAAGCATGATTTGGATCAGCAACCCCAAAAATGCAGTTGTTCAAGGATTTTTTAAGATGCAGTACATCTTAGTAACCTCTGTATAAGATAAGGACATTTCAAATTAGAAATATCAGTCTAAGACACAAGAAGCCTCTTCAAAACATTACCTTATTTCCAACAAAAGCAACTGGAAGATTCCAGAAAAGCTCCTCTACATCCAGGGTTATGAAGGCCTCTGTAGCATTAAGATCAACACGTTCTGTTGTGAATGTCACACCACGCTGTGTTGGTATAATGTAGTAGCCATCACTTACAGAGAAGTCATTGGTTCTGGATGACAGGTGCAACTGTTGATGAAGTGAAGTTTTCAAAAGTTTTGAGTAGTCAGTAAATTAGTCCTTCTTCATTAAATGAAAAGAAAAGCTGTTGCATTGACAGAATTCGTTCTAACTAACCAGGATTCTGTGTTATTTCCCTGAACTTTTTTGGTCCATTATCCCATGGTCTTACCTCTTTCCTGACAAAGTCAGTCTGTCTGCAACTGTCTGTGATTCCAAAGCAGAAACAACTTGTGCATCCTTCTGGTAGATTTGCTTGCAGACTGAAGGAGTTATTGATGCATCTGTCACATTTCCTTCCCCTCACATTGGCCTGAAGAAATAACACTCAGAGCGTGAGTTTTACACAAAATTAATGGCCATAATAATCATGCAAGTTTACAATGGAGCTTATGCCTGTAGTTATTCACAAAGGGGGAAATATTAAAACGTTAGATTAATTTTCAAAATACAAGATAGTTACCCAATAAAAATTCAATCAGCTGTTCTCTAGCAAAACTGCTCTAAACTAGTTTACAATCATAATATTGCTTAACTGGAGGGAAACTCAGGTTTTTAAAGAGCACCTCTAATGACAACACATTTTCTCTGATTTTATCTTTTCAAATAAATATGGAAGCATCCAAATCAAATGCAGCGTCATTTGTCTTCAGAGCTCAACTTTAACAAGCTTAAAAGGGTTTTTCCCTGTTCATCCCAAGATGCGAATTCTGAATGTAGATTACTTCATTTTGAGAAAACTGAGACAACGAGGGGAACCCTCGTCCTGTGTATGGCATGCCAAACAATGGCTACATGCATTATTTGGCATGCACTGGGATTATCCACTACGAACACAGGGTGAGGGTTCCTGTCGTTTTCTCTGTTTTCTCAGAATGACGCGATCTACATTCAGAATTTGCATGTTGGCATGAACAGAAAAAACCTTTTAAGCTTGTTAAAGTTCAGCTCTGAAGACAAATGATACTGCATTTGATTTGGATGCTTCCATATTTATTTGAAAAGATAAAATCAGAGAAAAGCTCTTTAATGATTGTCTTATTGTCTACCTTGCAGACACACTGTGCATCCTCATCAGCACACGAACACATTCCATTCTGGCAGGAAGAAGGGTCCGTTCCAACTTCATCACACTTGCATTGTTTACATTTTGGGTAGTCACGGTAACCAAATGGACATTGGTCACATTGCTGGCCAACAAACTTTCTTTTACAGCTAGCAATATGCAAAACAAAATGTACAAAAAATAGAAATGTAAAGCTTGTTCAATAGATACCAACATTCTCGTCTATTTCACAAATCAAACTTATTTCCATCAATGATAGAGGTTCCCACCTTGTAACTTTGAGAAAAAGAAATCTAAATATAGCTTGGACTCCATGTTTACCTGCATTGTCCAGTAACTGCATCACAATCAGATCTAAAGGATCCCTCCAGGCTGCAGTTACAAGGCTGAGAAAGAGAAAAAGGATTGAAGTAATAGTTTTACTTTAATGATCAAGCATGGATGAGACCCAATCAGCACTCATAAAAACTCATCTCTATCCAATAAACTGCATTTTGCATTGTATGTCTTGCTAAGGATGAAATGCTCATGAATATACAGGTGGACAGCGACCCCTGTGTCATGCTATTCAGCCTAACCGCTTCCACTTAAGTGTATTCTAGACAACTTTCTCCTTTGGCTTGAACCTACAGCATACCACTAAGGTTGTGTCCTTGGTTTGCTTTGATGAAAACATTCAGGCAACATATACCTTGCATCCAGTATGAATGTCATAGCCCCAGTGATCATCTTCACAGCTTTCACATCTCAGGCCGACAGTATTTGGAGGACAGGAGCATTTACCACTGACAGGATTACACCATACACTGATTTCACAACCGCAAGCTGGATGGGATAAAATAAGGTATCAGAGCAATCCAAAATACTGGAGGTTCTCCAGGCTTCAATAAATTGACTGCTGGAACTGATTCTGAGAAAATCTGCACTGCCATGATGTCAATTCTTAGCCTGCCAAATGCAGATGGATTTAACAGTCACAAATAGGAAAAAGAAGTAAAATCTTCAACTTAAACAATGACAACATGATTTACAGGAGAACTAACCTTCGCACCCATTTTCACTGAAGATCCAGAATCCAAGCTCACATTGATTGCATTGCATCCCAGTAACTCCTAGCTTACAGTAACACAGTCCAGTATTGACATCACAACGTTCATCCAATGAGCCCACAGGATCACAGTCACATGCCTGGCAACCAAGTCTGGATTCCAGATTCCAAAAGCCAGGCTGTAAAATGGATTGAAAAAATGTTTTTATATCATACAGCAAACGAAAGACTGATTGATGCACCAGAAAGATTCTAAAAAGCTGCTCTTTAAGATGATACGACTTGAAGCAGTTTATCTTACTTACAGCACACTGATTGCATGATAGACCAATGACGTTGGGTTTGCACTCGCATTGTCCAGTTTTCCGATCACAAAAAGATGAGAAGGCACCAGCATCATCACACTGACACACTGTCGAAGACAGGGATGGAGATTAGACCGTTGAAGTGCCCATGAGAAACATGTAGTTTTTCAAACTCGGAATATATTTCTTAAACACTTATATTTCCCAAAAATTTCAAGAAATAATTCTTATACTTCAACACTTCTTAAAGTTTTTAAAAGCCCAGGGTAACATCACTGAATACATTTTTGTCCTCAAAAAATTTTATTTAGATTGAAAATTTTGTTGTAAGACTCACTTTGGCAATCCTTAGCAGTAACAGCATCTCCAAAGAACCCATCCCTGCAATGCTGGCATTGAGCTCCTGATGTGTCACCAATGCAGATCAAACATTCCCCAGTCACTGTGTTGCAGCTCCCTGGTATGCCAGGGTTGATGTTGTTGTTACAAAGGGTAGTGCAAGGGTGACAGTAACCGCCAACTTCCAGTGGGTTGCCATAGAAACCATCAGCACATCTGAGGGAAAGGTTATAAGCCCTATGTACTTTGTACTGTGATTGATTATAACTGCTAGTCATGAAAAGCTGTAACAGAAACATTGGTCTAGTTTTATCTGCTAAATAAATAGTCATAAACATAAGTTGAAAGATTGTCTGACAAAGGAACAAGCTTCACATTTGGAACTGCAAGAAGAAATAGGTAGGAAATAAGTAGGCCAAGGTTTTTTGACAGTGTCAAATGGACCAGTCTGACACTGCCATCAACCATCTTACCGCTCACATCTTGGGCCTGTGAAGCCTGTAGGGCAGGAGTCACAAATGTAACCAAATTCAGGATCAGACACACAGGTTGGACTGAAACTAAACAATTCAAGAAAAACCAACCCAGCGGGGACGGTTGTTATTACTGTTCAAAAGCTAAAATGAATTGCAATTTTAAACTGCAAAGTAAAAAAGTGTAAAAAGGCAGGAAAGATCTAGGAATTCCTTCAACAACTGCAGATGTTCCGTAATGACAGTTGTTTTTTACCTACAAGAGGATGTTCAAATAAGCTGAATATATGTATGTTCTTGGTCTTCTAGGTGAGCTGTCTCTATGAAATTGTCCGGATTGTACTACCCTCTGATGCATACTTGAAATGTTACTTTGAAACGTCCGGGGAAAAAGTGTAAAGAAACAAATCAAATTAATTCAATAAATCCTACTTGTTTTCTGGGGTGAGGTGTGGGCAGGCACAAGGCTGACAGTCATGTACGGTGCCTTGCACAGGGTAGCCATAGAAACCAATGGCACAAAATTCACAGTGGGGCCCTGTGGTATTGTGAGTGCAGTCCTGAAAGAGAAGTAACAAACATCTGCTAGCCACAGTCACTTCTGAAACCTTTGCTTCAGATTTGGGTTGGGAATTTCAACAAACTTTTACGTTAATTACATCACTTTATGGTGTATTTTCTTCAAATTTAAGTGGTAATTTGGGGTTGGAAGGACTAAGTAAAGTTTAACCTTTAACCCTACAGCACCCCTGGCATCATCAGATGTCAGATGTAACTAAAGAAGCCTCTAAAGAATCGGTTTTGAGAATATCCTCAAATTTGGGGTCAAAATCAATACATGCTGTCAGTGTGCTGTCATTCCTTCTGCTATAAATTTTATGAAATTCCTAACTACAAGTGCCATAAAGTCACACCATGCCCACCCTTGACTATTTGTGTTGTGTCTGTACTTAGTACAAATATTATCCCACTGTTATCATGGTTTTCAAGTCTCTGGAGCAAAGTGTCATCTACGATGACTGAGTTATCAGACACATGTTTGAACAGAGTTCTTTTATGTCAAGTGCCAGCTCTTGTTGACAGGTTTGATTATTGTAAGGCCTAAATGTTCACATTCAGCAAACAGCAAGGTACCAAATATACATTCACACTGCAGAAGAATCAGAGGAAACCAAACATTGAAAATAAATGAAACAGACATTTGTCAGTCAGGGCGTGTAAATCAACTTCAAATAACAAAATGAATGTACAGATCTTCAGAAAATCCAGAACTGTTCTTTCTCAAGTAGATAACAACTGATAAGCATGCATGTGAGAACAATTAAAATAAAAATCTATTCAGTTTTACTATCAAAGAGGATTTCATTAAAAAGGACTTACAAAGCACTCTGCAGTGAAATCACTACATTCTGTGGCATGATTGTTGCACTGACATGGCTCACAGACACCATTCAGTAATATACCATCAACTCGCCGGTATCCAATCTCACATGACTAGGAACGGAAACAGAAAAAGGAAACTCTGTAAAATGTAACTTTACTGGGAAAGCAGACTTATCTGAAAACTAGACTCATAGCCAAAATTAGTCTCTTTTTAACCTCAGAAGAGTAATATAGTTTATAGGTTTCTTGCTGTACATTCATGCCGACAAAATCTTCTCCTTAACTCTAGACCCAAACTTACTACAACCTCTAGCATGATTCAATTTTTCATGACACCAGGAACTCTTGATCAGTTCAATCTGTAGAAACTTCTAAGTGCTAGTCAATGAAGCCACAATGCCCCTGTAGATATACGAGTGGCTAAATTTTATTTAATTGTATGGTGCTTGGGGCCAACTATCCCTCTACCAAGAATTATCAGCCCATTATTACCTCACATGACAGTCCTTCATATGAAGCTGGGCACTCGCATTGCTCAATACTTGAAAAGACATCAGGGTCAGTAGCCTCTTCAGATGCTACATCCAAACTTACATCACTAAGTCTTCGAAATTTGAAAAGAGAAAAGAAAGCTATTTTACTTTATTACTCAATGAGTCTCCAAAGTTTGTTTTTGTACTGAAAAAAAAACCAGACATTTAAATCTGCCTTGTTAATGCACCTGTTCCTTAACTGTAAGTCGTTATCAATAGATAACAAGATACAGGTACCTCCATTTGCTGGGTTATGGTATACTGGATTGTGGGATTAAGAATCTTACCTCATCATGGTCCACTTCTTTCAGCCAATTTCATATGAATTTTTCTTTTTGATATTCTTTCTTACCTTGACTCCACCACAAGTGAGCTATACACCGCACGTATCATCAACTTCTCCAGCCCACTCAGCACGGACATAAAGTCAGCCTGAGTAGCTGTTTGATCTTGTGATCTGTCTCCTAGGTCAGCGTCATGGGCTAATCGGTGCCAGCCACGCTCTGTCATTGTTATAACCACTGTCTCTTTGGTATCCGGCATGACTACCAGGGAATTTTTGTAGATGGTAATGCCATTACCCTAAGATGCAGGTGGCACAAAATATGAAATGATCAAGACAACCTGTTGCCGAGTATGGATTAACAATAATAATCCCCAAAGTGCTGTTTGCTGCATATGAAATAATTCCCACCACCACAAGTTTGTCAGTATTAAAGTGGAAATATTTATCTGCTGATGCCAAAGTTAACGTTGTATACAGCTTGAAGAATGGTAGATAATGACTGCAACTTTTTGGAGTTCAACTCAGTAAGAATATTACCTGCATGATGACATCAATGTCTGTTGTTGGGTCTGCCTGTCTGCCTGGTTCATCTTTGTAGGACACTGCAAACTGAAGTCTACCGCCATAAGCAGTGAGCTACGATCAAAATCACATTAAACATAAAATGAAAATTAATGCATCCATAGCACTATACGTATCAAACTTTCTTTACTTCCAGGGTGTGAAGACAACACTTTAATAGTTCAGCAAGTCAGCGATCTTGATTGGGGTCACAAACCAAGGCCGAACATACCTTGTTTCCTAGATAAGGTCGAGGAGCACGCCAGAAATAGTTATCTGCTTGTAGCTGTTTCCTTGCCTCCTGATGGTTGATGGCAATCATGTTAGGTCCAGCGATGCGAGGATGTATGTAGGCTGAAGTTTCTTGGTTAGTTACGATCCAGTCATTCATATCTCTGATCTGTTACAAGTGAAGTGGAGAGAAAAACACCAAACTACAGAGAAAGAAATAACTCAAAGTACAATATTTGAGAAACCTTTGAATCTCCAGCTGGAACAGAAAGCCACTCTAAGGAAATATTTACAGATGCTACAAATGCATACAATTGTATTTACAACTTGCACATATCTACCAATATTAGCACACAAGACCCTACATTAAGAAAGAAAACAATAATCAGAAATACCTTATCAATAGCCCAAGGAATGCTCTCGCATATGGTGGATAAGCCAAAACAGAAGCACCTACTACAACCTGCCTCGTCTTCCTCATTCAGGTTGAAAAATCCAGCTTTACACTGGTCACAGTTTGGTCCTATCACATTTTCCTGCAAACATGAAAATCAACAAGTCGATTCTCATCTTCAAATCTGATACTGTTAAGGAACTGAAGTATCCAAATCTTGTAGGTCCTAAAGGGACTTTTTTCTTAGAATTTTAATCATGGCTCACAAGAAGATACAATACTTCAAGATCTCAGGCTAACCAATCAGTGTGGAATTAACTGATTTATTACTGGATACTTCACTTACTTTACATTCACATGGGCCTTGGCATGCATCTGGGTTACGACTGCCTGCCAGGTTACATTGACATGGCTGACAGTAAGGATAGCCAAAGTAACCTCTTGCACACTGGTCGCAGCGCTGGCCAGCATAGCCTGGCTTGCAGAAACAATCACCAGGGTTCTGTTGGAGAAATGTTATTGAAAACAATGTCATAGATGTAGACACTTATCCAAAGAAAAGGAAATAACAGGTATAAAAGAAAAAACCTTTATCCCTAACACTCCTCAGTCCTCCAACAGGTGAAGGATTGAGGAGGGTTAGGGTTAATACCTCAACTCTCAACAGATTAATGATGAGCAAGACTATATCATAAGAGCTCCAAACAGCGGACCAGAAAAGATGCTAACAAGTAACTGAAAATCCATGCTTAGTAGTCTGACCATCACAGAAAATTAAATGAAGCTTTAAAAAACTCTAGGGTTCCAATTTTTAAGTCTTAATTGAGGTAAGGGTTTCTGATGAAAGACATTTTACTGAGGGAGGACGATTAGATAGGAGGGGGAACCGGGAATTACTAACCAAATCCTCATACATTCGGCTTTCATCCTTGGCACAGACAAGAAGCCTATTTGTTGTATCATCTCTGCGAGTACCAACAGCACTGCAATCACAACCTGGTGAGAAAATGATGAATATAAATGGTTCAATAAGCTGCTTACATATCACAAGACAAGTTTTTGTTTAGTAAAAGTGATTTCTTGAAAAGATTGGCACACTGTTTGAAACTACATGGATTCTATAATTTTTCTGTAATACACTTACGGACACAGGGCTGTGGATCATTAGTCTCTATGCCCAGTGGTCTGTACATTCCATCAATACACTTCTCACAATTGTTTCCTGTTGTGCCATCTCTGCACCCAATGCAGACTCCACCTCCTTCATAGTTACCATGGATATCCAGGCTTTCATGAGCTCTATCTATGTCCTCATCATAGTAACAGGTTTCAGAGTGGCCATGACAATTACATGCTGGGAAGGAATTGGACACACAGTACAAAGGTGATTGTCACTCAGAATCTTCAGATGTATTAATGGCAGTGTTGTAATGAGTCACTGAATTTTGTGACTCTAGTCAAGTCATTTTAGCACTGTGAGTCAAGTCAAGTCATTAGGTCAAGGAGTCAAGTCGAGTCACTTGTGTTGTCAAGTACTGAGCTCAAGTCAATTTGAGTCACAAATTTTTGAACAGTACAATAAGTACAATAAAACACAACTACATGTAAGTCACTTTTTGGTATTTTTATTTACACTAAGGGATCATCCATTTTTGTCATCTTCACAAGCATACAAAGTTTTTTTCCTGGCCCCCTCCTGCCTCTAAAAGAGTACCAAATAAAATGATATCTCTGTGGTGCCAGAGGACCCATTCCAATTCACCATGTAAGGCCGTTAATGTGCAGTAGACGACCAGAAAATAGTGCAAAGAGGAAAAATAATGTCCATGACAGGCCTCAATATTCACGGTTTTCCGATTGTTTTTGCTTCAAGGAATAGCAGTCAGAAAATGTACTTTTGATTTGATTTGTTCTCTTCACAAAAGCTTATAACAAGTGGAAAACAGTATACAGTTACAATAATTTTTGCATCGTTGTACAGGTACAAACTTGTGAGTATTAAGCACGCTGTGCATTTAGCTGGGCACCTTTCCACACAAGGAAAATGGAGTAAATAAATAAACTGTAAAATACAGTTGTGTGTGGGTACCAAACCTCATAGCACGCATGGCATAGTGGAGCTTTGGGGGTGCTTGAAGACTGTTTCACATGTGGCTATGACTTAAACGTGAATTTTGCTTGTGTATGTACTTTTTATACAGTACATGACACCAGGCAAAATCGTCGAGTGGTTAAGAAACAGCCATTGCCCAAACTTGCATGAATGATGCATCAGAGTCCTGTGCACTGTCTGCACATGCAATAGTTGGGGTGATAGTTGGCCAGTCTGTGATAATCGTCATTTTTAACATGTTTCTAAAAGCGTATGCAACCAATTCACCCCCTCCCCCAGCGTAAGAGTCAAGCCTTATAAGCTTGTACTCAAGTCGAGTCTCCCTGAGAGATCCGAGTTGAGTTGTTTGGTCGCAGACTCGAATCACGTCATTTACCCACTGGTAACTCGAGTTGAGTTGCCAAAAATTGTGCCAGACTTGAGTCGAATCATTGACTCCAGTCGTTACAACTCTGATTAATGGCAATTGATCAGGTTCAAGAACCTTTCCTCCCATGAGAAACAGATTGAATTTCCTAAAAATTATCTGATACTTGGAGACAGAATTGCACAAAGCTAAGCAGAATTTAAGTGCATTAAAATGAACTTTGCTGGGTTTTTAATGTATTGTCCTGAACTGCTTACGTTCGCACTCGTTGCTCTGGTCTCTACTCCCTGGCCTCCATACCTTCTGGATAAATCCTGGACAGCATTCATTACAGCTTTCACCACAAGTGTTATGCTCACAGACACACTTCAGCACCTGATGAAAAAAAAAAGACCCAAGTTGGTTCAAAGCAACGGAGTGAGGCTGAGAGAGTTTTCATACGAGTTTTTATATGAGTTTTAATTGACCAAACTGTCTTCATTATATTGTAAAAAAACTAATGTAGAAATAAAGCACAACCTCTCAAAAAGGAAAAGATTTCTTTATCCCATACAGTTTGATGAAACACTGTAGCAGTGTCTTCTACAGTAATCAAACATTTCTGGTGCCTTAACAATGCTTCCTCCACAATATTTCTAACAGTCAAAGGGGTTATTTGCTTTTAAATTAACAACCAATTCATTCATAGAAACCTGTTATTCATGTTATGTCACTTACAGGCTGACCAGGTCCTGCATCTGGGTGTTGTATGCAAGTGCGGGCATGACCAAAGCATATGCACTGTCCTCCAATAGAGATATCCTTAATGGAGTAGAAATACTACCCCAACCAAAAAGCAACAACACAGGAGTCTTGGTTATTCAAACAGTACTTGCAACTAAAAGTAAAGTGACTTGATATACACTGCACAATGAGTTGTCTAGCACCCACTGAACAGTAAAGTAATGAAACTCTGACCTTTAGAACGTTATGTGCATTATTTCAAGCCTACTCTGCAGTTTGAGGTTTAAAATACATTTTGAATAATTTTAACTTTTTTAAAAACATTAACACCCTGAATTGCTGGGCAAAGCAAAGGACAATTTAAGTGGTCAGTTCCAACTCAATCCCACTTGCCCACTTTCTTTCCTAGTTCAGAACCCTAGCTCAGAACTTGTGGCTCAGATTTCTAAATAGCTCTGGTTCTTTGAAGTTGACTAAACAAGCATGACAATTTACAAGCCTTAATTTATGTTATCCTATACACTTCACATTACAAATACAAAGTAGAATTCTCAAGGGGAAATAAGCAGTTTTCCATACCGATTACTGGCATGTTTTTCTGGAAAGGGTCAGCAGACATTTAGGCTACTTGCAAGTTAGCACAGGGTTGAACGACCTTGTCACAATTGTTCAGACGTTATCTTGGTGCAATTCCATCAAGTGAAAACCCAATGGGGTGTTCCTAAGTGCTTAAACTACACCCCATGCAACCCCCAATTCAGGCAATCAGGCAAAAAACTCTCTTGGCACCTAAAAGTACTAAGACCCTTGCAGTGACAAGATGAAAACATAAACAAACTAGCAGAAGATGGTGCCAAAAGGTGAACTGGAAATGGTACAACAGCAAATAGCAGTCAAAAATTGTGAAATGAACCAGTACATTACAGCATCCTCTAGGTCAGAACTTCACACTTGCATAATTTCTTTGCCAAGTGTAAATTTAATTTTTCATGACTGTTTATAGAAAATTACTGTCCCAATGTGCTTTTCAAAACTGAAGAGCTAAAATACAATCGTAACTATATATATGTATGTAACTCAGCAGGAAAAAGATTTGGCCATGTGAAGATTAACAATTGCATTGCCTACCCGTCTATTCACATTCTCATCAATGAAGCCATTATTTTCATAAGCCATGAGTCCACCCAGAAGTGTACGAATCTTCTGAAATCGTAACCTCACAAATCTTGCAGCCATGAATTTCTGCAGGGATAAAGGCATAATACAAATCTTCAACAGTTTTCCAACGAGAATTGAGTTTATGATAATCAGAGTGACTGCTTAAGGTTCATCTTGATGGCAATATATCACAGCTTACATGTAAAATAAGATCTAAAATGAAATTTTCTCTTCCATTTTCACCCATTAAAAACCTAACCTTTTTAACTCAAGTAACACCCCTCCAAAAGAATGAGAAAAGAATTTGTCTTGCAAAGAAAAAATGTTCATTATGTACAATGTAAAATGAGTCCATATAAAATGGACAACTTCCAGTACACTTCAAACATTTTGAATATTACCAAAATGTGACCAGTACTGAACAGAGCTTATTTTATAAAATGTCGGTTTATTCCACTCTTGTTACGTACCATAAGGGTCTCACTTGGATTTCGTATACTTGGTCGGCCATTGACAATAGAGGTATGAATCTCCCCATTACTAAGTGGATCAAGCTGTGAATAATACGACGTGCAGATGACCTCATCATCTCTACGGAATCGATGCATTCCAATGGCTGGGGCAATCCCATAGGTTCGCAGGCATTCTAGATCTGACATAGCATAGTATTGCCAAGGTTGGAAGTTGATACCATCTACTGAGTGTTCTAAGATCCAATTGCCTGGTCGAGGGGCATTTGCAGCTTTGACAATGACATATGCTACATTGAAGATCTATAAGTTAAGAATGTAAAGAAAACAACCACAGATGTAAAAGCAAAGTCAGAGCTACTCAGGGGTGTAGGTGAATTTGTTTGTGCAGGGAAAGATATAGAACACTCAATGCCACATTTGTTCCTCTTTATCCTAAGAAGCAACTAGATTAATTTATGAGAATTTTTAATGTCAGTCAATTGGTATTCTCATTGTAACAGTTCATACAAATGCAAAAAAACTTTTTTAATAAGGACATCATAATTATGTCTGTTACTTGATATCATCTGATACATATTTCATACTACAACTAGTATCATATGAAGGAATTCTCTTTTTTCACAAGAACCTAAAGGTTTGTTGCATTTGTCTGGTGGAAATGTAAAGAGAATAAAATGAAATGTACATTCTGCTCAAGGGTGAAAATATTATTTTGTCTTACATTACATCACGTTCAAAATAAATTCAGTCTAACACAAAACTCCTGCAACATCAAAGAAGTTGAGTTTACTCACACCTTGATAAACCCCTCAGAGAAGAAACTAAATACTCAAGTCAATTATTGAATCACTGAGACCATCTTGACAAGAATTCTAAAATCACATGGAGAGAGATGTAGATGGAAAACTTCCATCAATTGACACATGCCCCTCCCTGCCTTTGGCCTGTGTCCTGGCTTGTCTCAACCAACCATTGAATTATGGAGGCAGTAAGTGATATGTTTTGACATCACATCTCATCAACAGACCAAGAGAGTCAATAAACTTCACTGGGGTATTCAAACACCAGGCCAAGCCAAACCAAAACCAGTGGCCTGGGGCCAAACAGGACAGAGTTTGTTCAGAGGAAGTGGTAGCAGATATGAAATATTGGTTGTAAAATCTGAAAAGCTGAAAATTAACTTATTTGACCCTAGCCACAAGCAATGTCTTTCAGAATACCATGTCTGGAAGACATTTATTTCATCGGATTTCCCTAAAAACATTATAAACAAGGCTGGTTTATAATCTAACCCAAGTTCAGCAGATTAGGTTTGGGTTCTTTTAACAAACACTGTTGCTAAGTTGTTGCCTATCCCTATCCTTTGGAATTCAAAAACTTTGTCTAGATTTTATCTGATAATGGAAAATTCCAGTCTTCTAAGTCAATCTGAGTTGAAAGCAGTCACTATAGGTTTTCAAAATGTCATAGTATCTCCCAATTGACCATTTGATAATCTTGGAAAGTCTTGACTCTGAACAGTACTATTGGTGGTACAAGGGGAAATCTACCTCCAAAGCTTACAAAAAGAATTGGATGTATGACTCTGCCAGACAACTGACGTGTTGTCTTTCTTACTCAAGTACACCTGGGAATGTTACCATGGGAATGTTTCCATGAGTAGATCTGTCAGTATATGGCATAATCAATTCAGGTGTATAAATGAAGGGTGGGTGATATGTAGACAAACATGGGACACAAATTTGACTGTTGAAAGCATTCCCCTTAAATGCTCACAGCCAACAGAGTGAGAAGTCTGCAGTGGTGCATTAAATCGACGGTTTCCGCATAAAATGTGCAGAATCATAACAAGTAACTTGTACCTCTTTGAATAATTCTTAAGTCATCTTTGGAACAAGAACCCACATGTATGACTATATACTCTGTCAATCTCAACTTTATTTAATATACACCAACTCAACTTTAATCCCAATTTTTATGAGGCTAACCCAAATATTTATTCTATTCTATTAAAAAGCTTTTTGTTTAGTCTGTTTTAATGACATTTTTATGTGTTGGCCTAAAAATCTGATATATGCTAAGATGTATTCAGTACTTCTCAAGTCTCAAATTGTGACATATAAATGAACTTTGCTGACAGGGGTTGGAGGGGCTTATTGGAAATGCTTGGGGGTTATTCAGTGAATCATGCTGTACTAATGATTGACAACCATCTACAATATAACGAGACACCTGTGGTATATGAGAAGTATGATCATGGGAAATAACTATCAGCCTCACTGGGCATGTGCAAGCAGTTTCGTACACTGAAAATTGTTCCCGACACTCTTTTGATCTGTGGATGGCTTTGAATACACCTAAGAGGAACAAATGCCTAGGGCTAAAGTGTTTACTAAAGCCTCTTTTCTTATTCAACATGGTAAACCCGGAAAGACACCTACTGAGGTTGTAAGCATTTTCTCTGAAGAAAAATTAAGCTCAAACTAATTAAATGATTTCTGACAATAGAACACCTGTATAAATATGGACAACTGGTGAAGTGAAAAACAGCAATGAAATCTGATACCACTGAACTTGTGTGACTCCATTTAGGACAGGTAGGAGCTGGGTTAAAATGATGAACTACAGACTAGCCTACATGTAAAATTTTGAAGGACTGTAAATGCCACTAGTGAGAATGAGAGTCCCAAATGTGCAGTCTTCAATACCACTGTTGAAAAATAAGAATTACTCACCATCTAAGCTCCTGTCACACATTTTACAGGTGTGTAAAGTGACAGCCACAGGGCAAGGCAAGAAAATACTGTCCACATTGGACAGTTGGCAAAACATGCCAATTTTCAGGTTTAAGTAAATGTGTCTGAAAATTAGTCAGGCATTTGAAGGATTGAGTGGGGGCTTTGCCTTCTGTAGGTATGCTTTTGAAGAGAGGTGGCATTTCTGAAAATATCTGCATTGGTTCTCTGGACATAAAGAAAGTGTCCAGAAGTGTGGAACATTACAGAAAGAAAGATACCAAACAAAACATTTCTTAATGAGTAGCATTGTCCCTTGGTACAAGCTTTGCCAAAAAAGGAGTGGACCTCATGAAATGTTAATACTCTGTGCTATTTGGGATACCTTAAATAATACATGCATAGCAGTTTCTTTACTCCATCAGTTTTAACAAAGTAAAATAAAGAGAACACACACAGTCTTCCAGTATCAGAGAAACAGCACAAGACAATCACCCCCTCAATGAAAATGGAAACTAACTGGAGAATTTGTATTACGATCTACCCCAAAGCATATGAAAATTCCACTTGGACTATATGTAAGTGATACCCAACTTACAGCACAATATCCACTCGAACTAAAATCTGCAAATCTGCTTAACTTTCTATTCCCTCTAAGCTTCCGTTTCTAAAGTACAATATCTGAACACTACTGGCAAAACACTGATTAGAAACATGATACATTTAAACCATTTGCCTGTTGCTAGATATGGTTAAATCTTGTCACAAAAGTTCAAGTTGAAATGTACATGTGTCCTGGAATTGATACGACAGAAGAGGTTTCTCACATTTTGTTTTGGATTAACTAAATGGTGAAAATATTCTTATAGCAAACTTGGTAATTTAAATGTAAGGTTGTTCCTTCTTATAAAAGCTTGAATGAGGCAGGGAGGGAAGACAAAACTCCTAAGGAGAGCCCAGAGGACTGTTTACCACCTGCATATTCATTTCAAAGATTCTGCTCCTGAAGTGATACCCGTTACTAGCTACAACTGTTTAGTTTCATGTGGAATTCTGTTAGTTTGGAACAGAGCTTTGGAAATTGTAGGGAGAACAACCTACCATATGCCTATTAAAGTTTGAATGATTGGCTTCACCTGCACCAAACCAAAACTTATGGTAGATTAGGTTTGGTGACACAGACACCAGTAAATCCAAGACCAACTCTGATAGGAAACTGAACTTTTCACCTTTCTTGGCACTGCAGTACACTTGGCCATTCAAGAGTAAGGAAATCATGGAAGCATAAGAGCAGCTAAATCTCCAGCAGAATTCAATCGAATAGGATCCATAAATACCCCCAGGTTAAAGCTGGAAAAAAATGCTTCCGAATTTTCGGGGCATCATTGGAAAATTGGCTTTACCACTCCTGGGAGTAGTGGAGAAAATTGCAGGCAGCAATATGAGATTAAACAGATCACATCTGCACTTCTGACGAAGTTGACATAAACTTAAAACCAATTTTTTGTTGAGCAAAGAAAATCAACTGAAGCAGTATTTACACAGGTAGTCCTGCAAAACTACCATCCTGTGTATGGTTGATCATCATTTTCTCTGCTTTGGAAATTTCACACTGTGCAGGAAATGGGCAAACCTATTCTGATTTCCAACACCTGTATTCTCAGTCCTGGAAATAAATTTATGAAAACAATACCTATATTACAGTGAATCACATCAACAAGCCTTTATAAAGGCCTCTTCACACTACAGCTCTCAACCCGGCTTGAACTCAACCCTGGGCGAACCCATGACCGTCCTGAAAATGTGATTTTCAACCCCACATTCAACCTGGTATTATTTCACACTTGCTTTGTGCGAACAAAGCTTATCGGGGTAAGTTCAACCTGGAAATGAGAACAACACTTTTCAACCTAGATTAAAAATTCTCAACCCGGGTCCAGAGCAGGGTTGAGTTCAACCCAGGTTAAAATCAATCTTGGGGTTGATACAGGGTTGGCGCGGGGTTGAAAATTTTTAAGTGTGAATCGTCACCAGTTTTCAACCCTGCGTCAACCCTCGAGATTTGTCAAGTGTGAGAAGGAATAACAGGTGTGTATAAACATGGTTGAGGTTTGAAGGACTAGTTCTTGCAAATTGAAAACCTTTCTCTTAAATACAATACACTATCAAAATTTCTTACTGAAAAAGAAATGTGATTCTTTCACTTTCATAGATTTCAGTGTGAAGCAATTCCCTCTCCATCTGTATTGTAACCGAGAACCTAATTATACAGAGATTTTCAATCTGAACAAATACAATAAATTCAATTTTCCTAATGACCCTGAATCAGGCTGAAGAACCACACAAAAGTGCACTGCATAGACTACTCACTGTTTATTTTACACACAAAAAAGGAATTCTTTAATTTGAATTTGTATGCCCTGATCTAAAGCATTACCGTAAGAGCTCCACTCCATCTGAAGTTTCCTTAAGAATTTCATTTTCATTTGAGAAAAAGGTGAATCTTCCTTTTTCAATTCATAACATGCATGGACTGAGGGACACTCTGCCAGTATTATAAAACCAGTATAACTGAACAAATAAAGGGAATGAAGTCATTTAATGATGGGTTTCCTTTTTGTAAATATACAAGACCACAAGAATTTCAGTGTCTATATATGGAGGTTTGAATTCTTCAAGTTCACTCTGATTCAATAAATCTTACTAGCTACTAATTGAACTAAAGTCTTTTAAGATTTTAGAGGGCTGATGCAAAATGTGACACATTTATATTTCAGAATATTAGCTAAAAAATGAATGAATTCTTAAAATCATGGAGGCATAATATAAGGAAATGCCAAAGGTGATTGGCCTATGCAATCTGGGTTACTGTACCCTTGGGGTACACCCTTCTGATCCACATCCAGGCAAGGTTTTGAACAGAACCAGCCTAGTCAAATTTGTCAGTGTTCCCATGCTCTTAACATGAACCTAGGCCAACCCATAAAAGTACACACATGGCTGATGGTGGAGGGAGGCCTCTTCAGACTAAATTTTCCATGCATCCGATAGTTTCCCTTGGATTTTCCCCCAATAATAATTGCAAGAAGGTTTTTGTGTATGAATTATTTTTCTTACCCTTTGTTATAACTATGCTTCTGCTAAATGTTTCTTTTGAAAATATATTTCAACGTTTCTACATGAAACTTAATAGTATTTTTATGTTACCTTTTCTTGTTAATCAAATACCAGACGTCAAAATTGCATATATATCAGACAGGAAAATAAATCAACCAAGAATGTGGAGACTACCATCAAAATAATTTTTATGACAGAAGCATGGGATCTACACATGCTGTAAAGGAACAAATTAAAAAGCATGTTTATATCAGAGAATTCAAGCAAATTCCAGACACTGTTTTATCATCTTGGAATGCTAGCAATGAAGACCACATATGTGTGGCCTATATTTCAAGCAGTCAGTACTTGACTGATAGCTTATTTGGCAGGCAGGACAAATGCTTTCTTTCTGTGAACACATACGGCTGTTGAGCATGGGTAGAGTTTGATTGAGAGGCATAGGGAATGTTTCATTTTGTTAAATGGCTTTTTTAAGAAAAAAAGTTAAGGAAAACATTAGTTTAAAAGCTAAGCTCGCTCCAAATATGTGGATGGATGAAACTTCCAGAACTGTTAAAGAGAAAATTAACCAAACAACATTGTGTTATCCTGCATAAAAATCATACTAAATATGCCACAAAAAAGGGATAATACAATGATTCCAAGTCCAACATCATAACAGAAATAACTGCAGGCTTGCACAGGCTTTCTTCTATGGAAAATTCTGATTCAAAAATTTTCTTTGAAGCTCAACACACACAAAATTGACAAGGAAAATAAACCAACACACTTGTGCAAATGCTGGGTGAAAAGGACAAACAGTAGGACACAAATAAGGGCAGACAAACAGACAGACTCACGCAGATGGATGCTTGTCTTAAAAAAACCGATGGGTGAAAGTTTGGGCTACAAATCTCTCTCAAGGGATAAATCACCCGCTATTTCACCTAAACACACTACAAAGCTGATGACAGCAGGAATAAACTGAGTCTGCCCTTTGAGGAAATTTTATTTGCCTTATTTAAAGACTTTTGAATAAATAATTCCAGGCTTTGGCAGCTGTGGGTCTGTCTTCTGTTAATGTGAGCATTTCAAATCGCACTACAAGCTGTAAACTAGCACATTAAATATTGTCATGGAATGTGAAATAACGTTGTATCAATTGGAAATATGCGTGTATTAGGATACAATACTTTTATCTTGTTACTACATTAGTCAAAGGAAAGTCTACTCTGTCATATGACAAAAAAGAACATTCTGTAACAGGTGTACAAGTGTGGAAGTATTTCTTTTATCTTCATTCTGATTTTATGATTTCTGATTTTCCATTGCTTTGTTATTGTATCCATCTACATGTCTTTAAGCAACTGATATGCATTAGCCAAGGTTGGCTGTTTGTTAGATAATTTAAGCTCAACCATGTTCTATTGTCAAAATCTTTACAATTCATTAACCTCTGATTCACCTGTTGTAGATCCAGGGTGATGGTAACCCAGTGGTTGTTTCCCATTTGCTAATGTGGGGCTCTGCCACCAGGAGTTAGTCCCATCAATGGCATTGTAGATGGGGTGTCTATGGTTAGGGTCAGTGCTGTACAGGTAACAGATCTGACATTGGGCATGGGAGGGTTCCATCTGCATCTCACCCATAGGGACATGCTCCACCAGTCGGCAATACATCTCAGGTTCTCTCTCCCCACAGGTAGCATTAGTGGTGATGCGAGCTCTGGTGGCAAGATTGAAGATGTGTGGAAAGAGACCTGCGAGAAAAGAGACCAAAAAAGTCATCTCCATTAGTTTCCCAAGTATTCTCCACTGATACTCCAACCCACATGGAGAGATTATTTTTATTAGATCATTCCCTATATATTCTGGTATCATGCAGTGATTGAGTAAAGAAAAGAAATCTAAATACAAACAAAAAGTGTGGGGAACCTGCATGATTAGTCAGCGCTGAGAAATTAACTGCCACATCAGCAGAGCGCCCCTAACGGTTATCAAACTAGGTTACCAGATGTAAAATGCAGGTGCAAAATTTAAGTTATCCCTCGTAGGAAAATTATTATGATTGCTAATTTATACACTATGTTTTACATACCAAGGCAATGCTCCAAATTACCATTAAAAAGGTTTATGACTTATCTGATTGCATTATAGTTCATTCCTTTTACTTTGTAGAAATCACTAAAAGGCCCAAAACTATCCCACACTAACAAAACATTTTAAAGGGCAGATAACAGAGGAAAAAATCTCTCAAAACAGATTAATAAAAAAGAGCGTAAGGTATTTCTTGAACAAAACAAATCATCTAATCCACCCCAGGCTTACACACAGGAACCCATTCATAATTCTGGGCCATTAGAAACTAAACTCTAATCCCTCAGTAAAACAGCTTCCTTTCAGTCAGGTAAACAAAATGTACTTGACTCAGACTTTCGGGCTCTCTGTCTGGCCATTTCCTCTTCCCAGAGGAGATGCCTTGAATAGATGAATGGACGAACAACCCTTACACTTGAAAACTTCCTGGTATAGACAGCAACTTTTGTCGTTTACAAATAGTCATTGGAACTGGTAGCACTGAAACCTGCTGGAAAGTAGAGTTGATGGATTTGAAGACTCTGGGTGTTTTATGTTCAGTTTAGATTGCACTCATTTATTGGATGGTGATTTTTTTAATGGATTTTTGTTTTGCAGGGTGGTCTTGCCAAAGATATGAAACAGGTGTATTTTTTTCAGCAAACATTCCTTTTAGCAAGTACTAAATAGAGAAAGGAGTTTCAACAGAAGCTCACTTTGGCCTGTTTCTATTGGACCTATTTCTTCTGCAGCCATGTGGAATCTTTCCATGACATTCAATCATGTCAATCTATCCCGCATTCCCACATGGACTTTTTTTACCATAACAGAATATTCAGTTGCTGTGTAAGATAAGCTGAATACATTGCCAGCCCTGTATAAATCATAACAAAATTGGCAAAATCGGACAAAGAATTGTGTGTGTGCAGCATGCTGCTGTACTGTATGCAAGGAGACTGGGAACCATACAACCATTTTCGCGTGCCTGCTATCAATCTCTGTGTTGCGGCAGTCTTGTTCGTAGGTTTAACGTGGTCGCGGTCAATACACATTGTATGGGGACTGTTTCCATTGGACTTTTTGGTGCCTCTGCTAAATTACCTTGGCATCTTCCGCACCCCTTTTTGGCAAGTCAGTTTTACATCACGGTCATGGTAAGTTGACAGGGATGTTAGTTTACCACGCGCTCCCATTAGATTTAATTTTGCAAATCTACAAATGGGAACATGGCTTTTGGGAAGTGGTCCACCTGAAAGCCGGACAGAAAACTTTAATAGAAACCGTGATTGAAATACTTCTTCTGAGTGTTTTTTAGAATGTTTTGAAAAGCCAGAGGTTTTTATCCTTCTTTACCTGACGTCAACACTCAAAGCTTTCTTTTTGTCATCAATCAAAGAAAAGAAACCAAAATTTTTTATGTACTTGGCAAGAATCCAAATTGTGACGACTGTGCCCAGAGATGAAATGAAATTTGGGATCAACAGAAAATTCTATGATTCTAAGCAAATTTATGGCTAGCCTCTTGTAGCTACATGTAAGTCAGTAGTGTGTTGTCTTGAAAGTGATCTGAAGGTCTGCAAAAATACTTAAAGACCTCCCAAAAACATGTAGAAGTGAGTCTTTCCAAAAGTGCTGATTGATTCATGATATGTGATCATCATTTTCAGTTTCAGTGAAAACAATTCCCTTCTTTATAACACATAATAACTGATAACATGTGTGGACCATACTTCAGTCTGAGAATATTTTCATTTTGAATACTTCCATGTTTGAACTACAGGCAGAAATTGTTACAAATACTGGACATTTTGCTGCCAGATGAATATCACTTTTTTCTAGTACAAAAGATGAACTGAAGTCATGAGCTCATATTTGATCAGTTGAAAGCGCTATATAAACAATTCAGAAGATACAAACCAAAATCACTCTACAATCAATAAGTAACAAGAGCAGACTCTCCTTTGTGCTAAGACCATGTACATGTACATGTATGTACATGTATCTATGTATCGCTGGGTATTCTGCCACTGCAAAGCAGTTTGCCTTCTTCTCTCCCTCTCTTCTCCAGCAATTAGCTTTGCTGTCTAAGGACATTGCTCTTAGAAGCTTTACTCAAATAAGTCCAAACAAAAAGGTGATCTATTTTCACAGCACTTGAACAGGAAATGGTGTGTAAAGGGGTTATTCCATTCCCCTGAGGGCTCATTATGGCTGGAGACCTCTGTGAAACCTGGCACATTTTTGTTTATAAATTGGGACAATGTTGATCAGTGTGAACCAAACAAGCATGCAGAGGTTTGAACATGGAGAATGTAAGATGAGTGAAATCACACAGATCACAACAGTTAAAGTGTGGTGGCTATGGAGAAAGATGCCCCAATAGTCAAGTGAATTGTTGGGAAGGCTTGTTAACTACAAGAAGTACATGCAATGTTACCCCTGCATACAGTGAGACAAAGTTTTACCTTCTTCGTGACTGCTCGGAAAAAAGGCAAGGGCTCAATACTGAAACTAGCACAATTCTCAGGGGGATTTGTTTCTTCACAGATTTGGAGTGAAAACAAGTGGGTCTGTCCAGGAAAGCTAGACTGTTATCACCCTATTGAGAGTTCCATCTACAAAGCCAGGCTGGATAAATGTTTGCATTATCTGGGAATCATTTCCAGCTTTGTCTGAGACTTTAAGACAACTAAAGTGTTCCATCCACCCTAGGTTATTGATTTTACTCCCCAAAGAGAACCAAACATGGAGAACCGAGAGGGTTGGAGTTTTCTTTGTGGATTTTCCAAAAACTCAATCTTGATCAACTGAGCAATAAAGTGATTGTAGGCCCACCTGAGTATCAGAACCCCAAGTGCTGTTCCACAAGAGATGAATAGGGAAGTGCTTGAGAGTACAGAAACAGTGGTGACAGTTTAAATAATGCTCTGCTTTAACCTCTTTGAATGATTGCTACGGCATTCATTTCGTACATGTTGATCACATTTATACATACATTTAAATTCATCTTTTCAGTGGCAGTTTACTCCACTTAAGCTCTACATCAAATCCCTGTTTACTAAAGGTGAGTAGGTAGCCTACATCTGTCAAAATCTCATAATAAGAGGCATTAAATTTGGCAGATATCGTAATATTAGAGATACTTAATTTCAAATGTAGATTATTATTACAGGTTTCTTCAATGTAATCTTCAAAAATGTTTCAGAATTTGTTCTTCATGCAATGGAAAGAAAGCTAAAGGTGTCTATTTTTTCTTTTACCATGACATAAAACTCCTGCAGCTTTTCAGGAGTCAGTCTGACTGCAACCCTTTACCCATATAAACAACACAGTTTCATCTAGCCCGCCTCTCAACTAATATCTAAAGCCACAAATAATTTTTTTAACGTTTATGTCTTGTTCATGAACTGTACATGTACTTGTACAAGAGGCAAGGTTACAACCTCCAACCCTGGGTTTATTTCTCTGTACTTCAACACGTGAAGATCATCAACTTAAGAGCAAGCCTTGTTCTCTGGTGTTCCTAAACCTTTTAACCCATAGTAACTATAAATTGGCCTGGGCATAGTCTCAGTAGTCAATGGAGCCGGAGGCATGTGTGGTTAACCACATTCAGCGCAGTTTATTCAGACATCCTAAACATTCATACACAATACAGACCCATAAGAACAGTATTGTTGATGGAAGGAGTTGGAACATCTGACTGGCACATCCATAAACAAGACTTGGCTTTTCCCCCCTCTTTTGTAGCCCTAGAGTGAGATAACTGACAGATTTTGAGAGGCCTTTTTGGCTTTTTATTCCTCCATCAACTGTAAAATGAGTTTGGGGAAGCTGGAAGCTAGGAATACATATTTGTATTGCCTTTCTCCTAAACTCTGCTTCAGCCTAGCTGTTTCTTTAAATTGTTTGTTTCTTCTTCAGTTATAAGGGAGAAGAAATGGTTTGGATTCTTCAAAGCCATGGTGTGCCAGTGGAAAAGACTCAAAACCACAAACAAAATCCCCGAGGAAGTAAAAATGACTAATACTTTAAATTTTAAGACAAAACATTTCTTTCTGGAAGATAGGAGCAAGATTTGTAAAATACAGACAACCTCACAAGCACAGTCTAAAATCGTAATGCGTGTATTTGTAGCTTGCTCCAAGTGTCAATCTTGATATTTCCTCTTCAAAGATCAGAAGAGAAGTAATTGCTTCTGACACTTAGAGACCAGCCCTAGGGAATTCCCCTACTAATGGCAATTACATGTATGATTGGGTTATCATAATCTCTGTGACTGTGGAAAACCTTGTTTCCCCGTGAGGAATGGACTGTCAATATGGTGTGCCTTCAGGTAAAATTATCAGGTAGAGATTTGGCCATATGTTCAACTGATAACAAGGCTATATCCAGGTCTATCTGTATGGTGGATGGAGACATCATAAAAATCAGGATGTGATTTGAACTGCAGGGGCATTATGTACCATTCTAACATGTTCAAGGCTGTTACAAACAATAATGAAAATACGACATATACAAAAGTTGGCATTAAATTTCATCAGTTTTGATGTAATGTAATTTCCCGACAGTAACTCATTCCTCAGGTCAAAGACTTTGAGAAGTATCTAGCATGATGAATATAGAACTCCATGAACACATTTCAAAATTTGTTATCAGTCAACAATACTTTAAACCTAAATCT